TCAGAAGTTAACATTTTCTTTACCAGTCCTTCCACCATATCAACATGGAATTCTAGCTGATCTGTGTGTAGAGGTGAGTTATCAACTCAGAAGTTAACATTTTCTTTACCAGTCCTTCCACCATATCAACATGGAATTCTAGCTGATCTGTGTGTAGAGGTGAGTTATCAACTCAGAAGTTAACATTTTCTTTACCAGTCCTTCCACCATATCAACATGGAATTTTAGCTGATCTGTGTGTAGAGGTGAGTTATCAACTCAGAAGTTAACATTTTCTTTACCAGAAAATGTATTTCTGATGGATACTCACCTCCTCACACCCATCCTCCCCCACTTTTAGTGCACAATTTCTTATTTGCTTCATCAAAGAATACAGTTTCACGAGTGCAAATGCATAGGGGGAGTTAGTGCACATTGATGGTGTGTTGACCTATTGATGGTATCATAGGGGGAATTAGTGCACACGTAGGTGTGTTGCTGCATGATGACATCATTAAGTACTTATAGAGCAACTATTACTGTGTGTAGGAAAGTATGGCCACAGTTAAATAACATGTAGTTACAGAGCAACTATTACCATACTTTCCTACACACATGTTATTTAACTGTGGCGATAGTTACAGAGCAACTATTACTGTGTGGAGGAAAGTATGATCACAGTTAAATAACATGTAGTTACAGAGCAACTATTACTGTGTGTAGGAAAGTGTGGCCACAGTTAAATAACAGGTAGTTACAGAGCAACTATTACTGTGTGTAGGAAAGTATAACCACAGTTAAATAACAGGTAGTTACAGAGCAACTATTACTGTGTGGAGGAAAGTATGGCCACAGTTAAATAACATGTAGTTACAGAGCAACTATTACTGTGTGTAGGAAAGTATAACCACAGTTAAATAACATGTAGTTACAGAGCAACTATTACTGTGTGTAGGAAAGTATGACCACAGTTAAATAACAGGTAGTTACGGAGCAACTATTACTGTGTGTAGGAAAGTATGACCACAGTTAAATAACAGGTAGTTACAGAGCAACTATTACTGTGTAGGAAAGTATGACCACAGTTAAATAACATGCAGTTACAGAGCAACTATTACTGTGTGGAGGAAAGTATGACCACAGTTTAATTACATGTAGTTACGGAGCAACTATTACTGTGTGTAGGAAAGTATGACCACAGTTAAATAACAGGTAGTTACAGAGCAACTATTACTGTGTAGGAAAGTATGACCACAGTTAAATAACATGCAGTTACAGAGCAACTATTACTGTGTGGAGGAAAGTATGACCACAGTTAACTAATCACTGGATTAAGTAATTTTATCAAGTGTGTTCAAGAAGTTAATGGGGTTAGAACCCATTGATAATTCTAAGGGTAAGTCTCAAATGATTCTATTAATCAGAGTAAATATTTTTTTTGCCAGTATGGATTTTGATGTTTGTT